CGCTGGAGCCGTGCTACTGGAGCTGGTGGTGCTACAAGCACTGGAGGTCCTGCTGCTGCTGGAGCTGCTGGGGGTTCTGGAGCCACTGGTCCCGGAGGTGCTCGTACTGGAGGTACTGGAGCTGCTGGGCCTGGTGGTGCTGCTGGGGCTGGAGCTGCTGGAGGTGCTGGAGCTGGCGGTACTACTGGACCCGGTGCTACTTGAGGTGGTGGCCCTGGCGCTGCTGGTGCTGCTGGGACTTCTGGTGGTCCTGCTGGAGCTGGAGCTCCTGGAGGTGCTGGAGCTGGAGGTGCTGCTGGAGCCGGTGCTCCTGGGGGTGCTGGAGTTGGCGCTGCTGGAGCTGCTGGAGGTGCTGGTGGAGCTGGTGGTGCTACTGGAGTTGGAGCTAACGCTGGGGGTGCTGGTGCTGTTCCTGCTGGTTCTGGAGGCGTTGCGCGGCTGCGGCCGTACTTCGTTCCGCTCCTTGAGCAGGTTCTTGGTCTCTCGCCTTCTACTGGTCCTGCTCCTTCCTTAGAGTGTCCACAACCTGTCCAGTCTGAGTCACAGTTACAACCGGCCTCCCCACTGCCTGCTCCTTCTCCTTACACTGGTCCGACAGGAGGTCGTACGGAGCGTCGTGAGCCTGAGTCTCGTCCTGCGTTGCCTGTTCGTGCTGCTCGCACTCGTCGTCGTAGTTCGCGTCAGCATCCTCCTCCTGTCCCTGGCACACACCAGATGGCTCTGCGTCCTTCCACTGCTCCGCAGCGTGTCCCTCTGCCGTCTCCTCCTGAGTCCTCTCTTCCTGCACTTGCTGACCCGGAGTCTGACTCCCTTCGTGCTGCTAGTCCTACTGTCACACGTCTCTTGGCCACTGTTGTCACTGACCCTTCCTTTGAGTCCACTGCTGCGTCTGCCTTAGTTGCTGAGCTTGTCGCGCTCACTATCGTCTAGACTACGCCGCTAGTCTTGTTGCTGAGTCTGCGTCTGTCTGTCCTCCGTCCGTCGGGGGTGAGTGTGCTCTTGGCACGGACGTCCTTGAGAACAGGCAGGAGGAGTTCGAGTGTTTTGCTGCTGCTTTACCTCATCTCGTGTCCATGCTGCTTGCCCCTGAGGGAGACCCGGATGCACCAGACATCCCGACCCCGCGCTCTTACGCAGAGGCGATAGAGGGTCCCTACTCCTCTCTGTGGCAGACAGCCATGGATGCAGAGATGGCTTCCTGGAAGTCCACAGGCACCTACGTCCACGAGGTTCCCCCACCTGGGGCGAACATTGTCGATGGCATGTGGATTTTCAGGGTGAAGCGGTCGCCGGGTTCTCCGCCTGTCTTCAAGGCGCGTTACGTGGCTCGAGTCTTCAGTCAGCGGCAGGAAGTTGACTACTTTTATACCTTCTCTCCCACCCCGAAGATCACTCTTCGGGTACTACTGCATGTAGCTGCTCAGCGTGGCTACGAGCTGCACTCTCTTGACTTCAGTATAGCCTTCCTACAGGGCAGCCTGCACGAGGAGATCTGGCTGCGCCGCCCACCTGGCTTCACTGGGTCGTTTCCTCCTGGTACCCAGTGGAGCCTCCGGCGGCCAGTCTACGGTCTCCGCCAGGCGCCCCGTGAGTGGCACGACACACTGAGGACTACGCTTGCGGCTCTTGGGTTTGCACCTTCCACTGCTGACCCGTCGTTGTTTCTCCGCACCGACACTACTCTGTCGCCGTTCTACATCCTCGTGTACGTCGACGACTTGGTCTTGACTACAGCTGACACTGCGGGACTGGCCCACGTGAAGTCGGAGCTGCAGAAGAGACACACGTGCACAGACCTGGGTGAGCTGCACAGCTATCTTGGCTTGCAGATCACCCAGGACAGAGCACGCCGCACCATGACCTTGACTCAGTCACACATGGTGCAGCAGGTCCTTCAGTGCTTCAACTTCACGTACTCCTCGCCTCAGGCCACTCCTCTGTCTACTCGCCACTCGCTCTCAGCTCTGCCTTCGGATGAGTTCGTAGAGCCGAGTGGCCTGTACACAGAGCTTGTCGGCTGCCTCATGTACCTGATGACCTGCACTCGACCTGACCTGGCATACCCTCTTAGCATCTTGGCACGCTATGTTGCTCCTAGGAGACACCGACCAGAGCACATGGATGCAGCTAAGAGGGTGCTACGCTACCTGTGCAGTACGTCGGGCATGGGGCTCGTGCTTGGAGGACGGGCTCGAGTTGTCCTCACTGGTCACGCAGACGCTTCTTGGGTTGACGACTTGTCTACGCAGCGGTCGTCACAGGGTTACACCTTCAGCCTTGGTTCCGGCTCTGTTTCGTGGCGGTCTACCCGCTCGTCTTCTGTTCTCAGCTCCAGATATGAGGCTGAGATCTACGCTGGGGCCATGGCTGCACAGGAGTTACGCTGGCTCACCTACCTGCTGACCGACTTGGGAGAGGCGCCTCGTTCTCCTCCAGTTCTGTACGTCGACAACAAGGCCATGCTGGCCTTGTGTCAGGAGCACAGACTAGAGCACAGAACGAAGCACATTGCTCTGCGCTACTTCCTTGCTCGAGAGTTGCAGCAGCGTGGTCAGCTTCGTCTTGCTTACGTGGCCACTCGGGCCAACACCGCTGATATCTTTACCAATGCACTTCAGCCTTGTGATCATCAGCGCTTTTGTACTATGCTAGGTCTTGTGCCTACTTGGCCTCACTTGCTCACTTCTTGACTTTGCTTGTACTGTGATCTATATATACCTGCACCTGCATGCTTACCCTTGCTAGGTTGAAATCATTGTCTTGCTTGTTCACCTTGACATATAACTCTGCATGTGAACTGGCCTTATGGCCTTGTGCTTGTGCTCAGAATGCGTGGTGACGTCGTGATCCACCCTGAGCTTGCCTTGCTTTGCTTGACTGGTCTTGTGACCTCTTGTTCTCCCCCACTTTGCCTATGGGGGTGTGTCAAACATATATGATATAGCGTGTGTAGGCTGTAGTGGGGTAAACACTATGGGGTACAGCTTTTCTAGGTTTTCATAGTACCCATCTCCTTTCTAGTCGACATCATTCCTCGTACATTCCTCACAAAATCCTACGAGAAGCACGGACCAGGGCAGCAGACGCAATTAAAAAAGCGAACGTTATCGCTAAGGGCAACGCCGACCGCCACCGCAGACCCGTCACTTACCAACCCGACGACTTAGTTCTACTCGACACCCAGAACCTCCGCCTGCCCATAACTCCGAAACTCCGCCCCCGATATTGTGGGCCATTCCGCATAAGCCACATGATCACACCGGTCACCGCCCACCTCCTCCTCCCCGCTGACTGGTACGTCAGCCCGTCTTTCCACGTCAGCCTACTTCGCCCCTACATCCCATCCACCAGCCAACTGGCCCGAACTCGCCCCGCCAGCATGACACGACCACCGACCGAGCCAGTCATCACACCCGAAAAGATTATGAGTCACCGATTTCGCGACCCACGAGGAGCACGAAGGGTCGAATTCATGATCCGCTGGAAAGATCGCACGCCCACCGAGGACAATTGGGTCCCCCTGGGCAACATCGAAAACCACCCAGTCCTCAACGAGTACCTGCGCAGACGAAATTTCCGAGATGTACACGCGCTCTCGTAAGGGAGGCATTCCTTGGGGGGGGGGGTAGTGTAAGGAAAATCCCTTTTCCTTACTTCGCGTCCCTCTTAGCGCGTACACCACTGTTCCCGCCAACAGCACCCCACAGTATCCCGTTACCATTCGCGACATTCGCCTCGACCCCATTCCCGCCACTGTTCACGATGCGACCCAACCTCACGGTTCGGTTGGTAACTCGCGCTCTGGACCTCCGCCTCGACAATCCCCAAACCTCGGCACCAGGCCCGTCGCGCACTCCATTTCCCACACGTTACCGTTACCACTGTAGCTTCGCTATATATTCTTCGCTCAATCCTTCGCTCATTGGATTCTTGTATGGATAGTGCAATCCTCACTCGCTCACTCAATTGCACTCGTAACAATCCGACAACGTACCACTCGCACCAAGACAGCAGCTAAATCGGATTTCGGCGCATCTTAGGCCACAAAAAAACACGAACCGTTGATTTAGAACATTGACGGTTCAAATCGAATATGAGCATTCTGTTGAAAACTGTGAAGATTTGTGCAGGTTGGAATGCTATGCGTCGATCAGAAACGCCTTGAACGGTTAGGATCAGTTATGTTTCTGGTAGGAAAAGGAATCGAAACCGTTGATCTGTGTTTTACTGGACGGTCAAGATCTCAGCTAACAAAACTCAAACCAATTCACAAGGTTGGAACAACAACCGTTGATCCAAAGTGGGTTTGATCGTCAACCGTCGATTCTTTCCCATGATGTGCTGCAGATTTCTGGTGGCTAGCTGAAACTTTTCATTAAAAGGTCACGATTAAGAGATGAAAGTAGTTGGCAGAAAATTATGCTAGCTTGTCTCCGATTGGTTCAAAGTTCCATCCACCCCAGATTTCGGCGGAGGCACGCACCCATAAAGAGTTGGAAGTCTGGCAAGGTTGACAAATCTCAGACCAGGAAACTCACCGACAGCACGAGCCTGTGCTCGCACTGTCGCATCGCATCGCATCGCTCCGCGTCGCTCACTCGGAGATCTGTTTTCGCAAATATCCGCCTACCGTTCTTCGGTCGCTGATGTCGGTACTACAGTACGGTGATAGATGATTCCATCCGCACATGCGGAGCAGATATGTTGAGTTAGGGTAAAGAAAGATGTAGTGGTGCTTCAACCCAACCTGACCTGCCGGCAAGCGCCGAGTTTCTTGCGATGCGCTTTTGCACAAAAAGCTGTCCTTTGAGCCGTGCGCTTCTGACGCCGAGAATCGCGCGGGCACCGCACGCGTGGGATGGTGCCTCCTAATCAAGCCTGCCTAAAACGCGCAATCGATGGCGAACCCGTGATATACCGTGGCCTGAAACAGTAACATCGTAACAGTAACAATAACAGTGACAGGTAAACAGCGGGGCAGGCGACCGTCACGGGCGTACATGGCTCCGCCTCACAGCCTCCCCCTTCACTCCTCACGCTTCTCCATCCGCGCAGCCACGCGCCTCTCCGCGGCGTTATCCGCCGCGTGCTGCGTGCTGCTTCTCGCCTCCGCAGCCTCCGGCGCCGCCCCCGCGTCGTCCCTACTACCGTCCGCCCGGCACGCACTTTCCCCTCTTCACCAGTCGGCATCACGGGACGATGAGTCATCATCGTCAAATTACGGCTCGTCCGCCTTCCCTAGTACCGCCTGGTCGCTGCTACACTCGTTTCTCGATTTCGACAACTCAGACAATCTTGGCGGCGACTCCGGGGACTCGTCGCGACTAGAACAGCCGCAAGCGGCGCGCTCCCCGCCGCATCGCCTGCTCGTCGCACAACAACAGCCCAGCGTCGCCGCTACCGCAGCTGGCGTCGCGACGAGTGCTCACGTCAACAAGCCTCCGCCGCCGCCGCCTGCGCCGCCACTGCGCGAGGTGGAGCTCGACCCGTGCGCGCTGCAGGCGCTGCTGCCGCAGCTCTTTCCGCCCGCCCTCCTCGACCCCGCCTGCTTCAACCACCTCTCGCTGCACTCCGCGCAGCCCTCCTCCCCGCTCGACTCCCACCCGCTCGACTCTCCCCGGCACGGCGGTGCGTCCACGTCTCCGTTGAGCGACAGCGGCAGCGGCGGTGGCGGGGGGGACGAGCCTGAGACGGCGACGCGGGGCGATCTGCTGGACGTGGCGCGCAACAAGTGGCGCGCCAGCACCGTGTGGGCGCCGCTGGAGGCGGAAGGCAGCGCGGAAGGCGCGGGAGGCGCGGGGGGAACGGGGGGAGCGGGGGTAGCGAGGGTAGCGGGGGTAATGGGGGGAGCGGGGTTAGCGGGCGGAGCGGGGGTAACGGGGGGACCAGGAAGAGTGGAGCCGGCTGCGGCGGCGGCGTCGACTCTCACCCCCCCGAATGAAGTGATCACTGTGTGCCGCTCCGCTGGTAGGGCTCGCATGGTGACTGCCGGTGATGGGGAGGGATGAGCAAGGGGCGAACACGAACATGTTCGTGTTCGCCCCTAGACGAACACATCCGTTTGCCGAACCGAACAGTGTTCGGTTTGGCGAACACTTTAAGCAAAAACACGTGTTCGCCGTTCGCCTGTGAAGGCGTGTTCGGGCGAACCTCGAACACGTTCGTGTTCGTCGCGGGGCAAATTGCAGCAGCGGCCCGAACACGAACGTGTTCGGGCGAACATCGAACACTGTTCGGCGAACAGTTTAAGCAAAAAAAACAAACCTGTTCGGTTCGCCTCGAACGTGTTCGAGGCGAACCGAACAGGTGTTCGCCCTTGTGCTCATGTCCGTGATGAGCGGTGATGAGGTGTGACGTGAGGTGATGGGAGGTGTGGTGAGTGGATGATGGGTTCAGATGGGTTGAGATGCGTGGAGAAGGTTCGGTTATGGCCGTACGGATGGACAGTCTCACTGAGTCACTGCGCGGAGACTCCTTTCCTGCACACGCATGGCATGGCGTGGCGCGGTGACAGCATAGCACAGAATTGTGTGGAATGACAGCATGACACGTGGCATGGCCATGTCAGTCCACCTCAGCTGTTCTTTTCCCTTGCTTCCCTCCCTTCCCTCTCTTCCTAAATCTTCTTCCTATGCGCCCGTTTTCCCTTGCCCACTCCCGTTTTCTCTTGCCTGCTCCCGTTAACCAGCATAACCATCATCCTTCCTCCTCACCCTCCCCTCTCTCCCTCATCGCCACCCCCAGCCAGCATCACCATCCCCGTCGACCTCACCTGTGGGTCTGTGGGTCTGTGGGTCTGTGGGTCTGTGGGCCTGTGGGTCTGTGGGTCTGTGGGTCTGTGGGTCTGTGGGCCTGTGGGTCTGTGGGTCTGTGGGTCTGTGGGCCTGTGGGTCTGTGGGTCTGTGGGTCTGTGGGTCTGTGGGTCTGTGGGTCTGTGGGTCTGTGGGTCTGTGGGCCTGTGGGTCTGTGGGTCTGTGGGTCTGTGGGTCTGTGGGTCTGTGGGTCTGTGGGTCTGTGGGTCTGTGGGTCTGTGGGTCTGTGGGTCTGTGGGTCTGTGGGTCTGTGGGTCTGTGGGTCTGTGGGCCTGTGGGCCTGTGGGCCTGTGGGCCTGTGGGCCTGTGGGCCTGTGGGTCTGTGGGTCTGTGGGTCTGTGGGTCTGTGGGTCTGTGGGCCTGTGGGCCTGTGGGCCTGTGGGCCTGTGGGCCTGTGGGCCTGTGGGTCTGTGGGTCTGTGGGTCTGTGGGTCTGTGGGTCTGTGGGTCTGTGGGTCTGTGGGTCTGTGGGTCTGTGGGTCTGTGGGCCTGTGGGCCTGTGGGCCTGTGGGTCTGTGGGTCTGTGGGTCTGTGGGTCTGTGGGTCTGTGGGTCTGTGGGTCTGTGGGTCTGTGGGTCTGTGGGTCTGTGGGTCTGTGGGTCTGTGGGTCTGTGGGTCTGTGGGTCTGTGGGTCTGTGGGTCTGTGGGCCTGTGGGCCTGTGGGCCTGTGGGTCTGTGGGTCTGTGGGTCTGTGGGTCTGTGGGTCTGTGGGCCTGTGGGCCTGTGGGCCTGTGGGCCTGTGGGCCTGTGGGTCTGTGGGTCTGTGGGTCTGTGGGTCTGTGGGTCTGTGGGTCTGTGGGTCTGTGGGTCTGTGGGCCTGTGGGTCTGTGGGCCTGTGGGCCTGTGGGCCTGTGGGTCTGTGGGTCTGTGGGTCTGTGGGTCTGTGGGTCTGTGGGTCTGTGGGTCTGTGGGTCTGTGGGTCTGTGGGTCTGTGGGTCTGTGGGTCTGTGGGTCTGTGGGTCTGTGGGTCTGTGGGTCTGTGGGTCTGCCCGTGGCCTTACCTTACCCTCCTCTTGCCTCTCCCCTCTAAGCCTCTCTCCCTCATCGCCACCCCCAGCCAGCATCTCCATCTCCATCTCCATTACTCTGGACCTCAACTGCGCCCTCACCTCCCCTCTCGTCTCCCGCTCTCTTCCTTCCTTCCCCCTCCCCTCGCTCCCCTGTCTCTCCAGGCCCAGCCATCACCACCATCAGTCCGGACATCATTTGTTAACGCTACCCAGGTCTCCCATGCACGCCTGAATGCTCCCCGCCCCACTCCCTGTCCCCAGCCCCAGCCACCATCGCCACCAGCCCAGGCGTCATTTGTTAACGTTACCCAGTCTCCCATGTCATGCGTGCCTGAGAAGTGTCCTCCGCACCGCACTCCCTGTCCCAAGCCCCGGCCAGCGTCAGCATCAGTCCGGGCGTCTTTTGTTAGCGTTACCCTAGTCTCCCATGCACACCTGACCAGTGCCCATGCCCCCCCCACCCCACCCCCCCCTCCCCCCCCCCTTTTTTCCCCTTTCCCCTCTCTCCCGCTCTCTCCCCCTCTCTGTCTGCCAGGCCCAGCCAGCATCACCATCAGTCCGGATCTCAGTGGGCAGACCTGGAGAGGCTGGGGCACGTCTTTGGCATGGTGAGTGCGAAAGAGTGGTGAGTGCGAGAGAGTGGTGAGTGCGAGAGAGCATGACTTTATGATTATTAGTGGTTTTGCATGATGGCTGCAGGATAAACACTGTACGGCGTTGTGAGTGCATGGGGCAGTGAGTGCATGACCCTCTCTCTTGTCCCTTCGACCACCTCGGTCTTTCTGTACCTAGGCTACCTATTTCCCGTCCATCTCAACTGCTCCCACCCCACAAACCCGCAGTTCGCCTCTTGCCCTCCCCGCCTTGCCCCTTCTCAGGCAACTACACTGGCAAGCTACCAGACAACCAGCTCACCACGCTCCTCGACCTTTTCCCTCCCCCTTCCCCCTTTCCTTCCCCTTCCCCCTCCTGCCCTCCCCCTGCCCTCCCCCTGCCCTACCCCTGCCCCTCCCATCCGCCAGGACTGCCAACTACATTGGCAAGCTGCCAGACGATCAGCTCACCACGCTGCTGGACCTGCTCTTCTCACCGTCCACGGGAATCGGGTTCAACCTCGCGCGCTACCTGCTGGGCGCCAGCTTCAACGCCACCAACAGCCCGCAGCTCACCAAAGACACCTTTCACCAGGTCAACCTCCCCGGCTACAAGCCGACAGAGGCCGGCCCGTACGACTGGGCGGCGGACTGGCGGCAGCGGAAGGTGCTGAAAGGAGCGATGGAGCGCGGGTTGGATGAGGTGGAGGCGATTGCGTACTCGGCGCCGTGGTGGATGACCATCAGTGGGGATACCGCGGGGAATGTGGGCGGAGCGTCGAACCTCCGGCCCGATATGTACGGCGCGTTTGCCGAGTATTTGGCGACCATAACGGACCATCTCCAGCGGGAGTGGAACGTGACGTTCAGCACGATGAATCCGGCGAATGAGCCGCTGGAGGGGTGGTGGACGCAGGGGGGGAAGCACGAGGGGTGCAGCTTCACGGCTGCTGAGCTGGAGCGCCTTTGCAAGGTCGTAGCGGCTGCACTGAAGCGGAGGAAGCTTCCCACGCAAGTCGCAGGGTTCGACAGCTTCGTCGGGTTTACGGTGCGAAACGCAAAGAAATGGACCGGGCAGCTGCTATCCAGCCTGAAAAGGATATCTGTGCATGGGTATGTTCCCCCGCCGCCCACCACAACCGACACAAGGGAGTATATCGAGCAGCTCTATGTGTGGCTAGCGCGGGTGGGGATGGGCGTGGGGAAGGAGGTGTGGGTGTCGGAGATTGGGCCGATGTGGGCGGGAGGGGAGGACACCGATGTGGGGTTGTTCATGATGCGATCGGCGATTCAAGCGATCAACATCATGGGAGCCTCGGCGTGGATTTACTGGCAGGCGATTGCCCCGACCCTTCCTTCCAACCCTAATATGTTCAAGTGGGCGCTGCTCACGATAAAGCACAACAGTGTTTCGGATCCAACGGTCATTCCGCTGGAAATGACGTTTTCGAAAAAGTTTTACATGATGAAGCAGATGGCCCGGGCGTCGCCGCGAGGGAGCATGCCGCTGAGAATCGACACGAGCGACGGTTGTCACCACTGCATTGCATCGTTCTTCAACCCGGATAAGAACTTCATCTCTATCTATATAGTGAACCAGGATGGTGGGGACTACAGTATTTCATTCAAATTCGAGTTTTTTGGGCTGATGGATGGGGCAAGCCCATGTGTGGTGGAGGTGCAACGGACGTCTGAAAGCGAGGATGCAGAGGTGGTTTCCACTGATAGTCTCACTGAAATGCCGCAGACTCTGCCTGTGACCGCAATAGGCAGAAGCATCACTACTATAATGATTTCCAATGTTGTATGGTTGTAGAGTTGCAGATTGGTTTCCCCCCAAGGAACAAGGGACATAAGATTTAAAATGGGATGAAACAGAGTTTCTTAAAGGGGTGTGCATCTAATTGAGTAAAAAGTACCGTCATCGCCCGGATACAAGACATATATGTCTTATCTCGTACACTAGAAAAAATGCTTGGGTTATCTTGTATTTGGGGAGGTCTTGGGTGTCTTATACGTTTTATAAATGGAAACTTTTTAAACTAAGTTTTTTTTTCACACATCTTGAAGAGAGTTTCTCATAATGAGTGTGGATGTTGCGAAGGTGCCACTTCGGCAACCATTGTTCGGGAAGCCACGTCATTGAAAGTACTTGCAGAGGCAAATTTGGTAGTACCTGAGTTAACACGTGGAAGAATTCGCGCATCGCAAGGGTAAAAATGTACGCGGTATTTCAAGTTTCACTATAATATATTGCAATTTCGATTATACGACACATGTGTCTTACCGTATCTCGTACACACAAATAGGTGTCTTATAATGAGGCTAGCCTGTTTATAAGAGACACCCGGATAATAGACAACCCCTGTCTACTATTCTGTTAGAATTTGAAGTGAGTTTGTAGGATTGTAGTCTTAGGATGGTAGCTTCCTGTCGTAGCGGAAGTCTTATATGAGTGACTTGTAACAGGATCAATGTCTCTGAAATCAAGTATATATAAAATGACAAGCATACAGAATATATAGCTAGACTAAAGTACCTGTTCGCCTACTGTGCTGTATTTATTCGCGCTATTCCTGTTCTGAAACGGTACGTGACTATTCGCGATACCTACAGCTACTGCTGATGTCATCCTAGGGCGCGTAGCGCTTTGCTGACGTCAGTCTATCGGTACTTTTACTGTACTAACTATACTACACGAATTCCTTGAAGTGCATAAACCTCGATATTATCTCAACACTCCCCTTCACTTCTAGGAGTTCGGTGTAGTCATCCTGTTGACTCGGAAATACCACTGAGCTGGTTGCAGTGATGAAATTTCTGACGCGTCAGCTTCTTAGTAAGCGAATCAGAGGCCATGTCACTGGTGGGGCAGTAGACAAGGCGCATTCTCCCCTTGTCGATCGCGTCTTTTACGAAGAAGTAACGCAGCGAAATATGCTTCGTGCGATTAACGAAACCAGGCTTGTTGGCGATGGTAATTGCACTCTGGTTGTCGCACTGCAACGTGAACTGATTCGGCGTGACGAATTTTGCTTCGTCAAGCAATTCCTGCAAGTACAGACCTTCGCGAGTTGCAGCACAAGCGGCGATGAATTCTGCTTCAGCCGAAGAAAGTGACACCAGTTCCTGTTTCGAGGAATTCCAGGAAATCGGACCAATCGGCTCGAGACGAAAAATATAACCCGTGCGTGACCGTCGATCTGACGTGTCGCCAGCGTGGTCCGCGTCAACGTATCCGCTGAGGTACATTTTGTCGGTCGGCTTCCCAGCATTGAAAATCAATCCAAGTGTTGGTGTAGAGACGAAGTAACGTAACGCACGCTGTAAGTCGAGAGAGTGTTCTTCTTTCGGGCAGCGTAAAAACTGCGCAAGGTGACTTGCGACGTAGGCAAGATCAGGGCGACAGGTGACTGCTGCGAAAAGAAGACATCCCAGCTGCTGCTGATACAGTTGAAGACCAGCTGCTGACAGATTTTTCAGGTTGGGAACGTGCCCGGTGAGTGTAGACCGATAAGGTGTAGCAACGAAATCCGTGGGGATGTTGAAACGCTTAGCGAGTGACTCCGCATACTTCGAAGCCGTGAGATGAATAGCGGAAGAAGTTCGCGAAACGTTTAACCCCAGAAACTGAGTTACTTTGGTGGAAATGGTTAAGTCAAGTGACTTCTTCAGATCAGCTTCGATACGATCACCCAGCGAAGTAGACGAACTGACGTAGAGGATGTCGTCCACGTAAGCCACTAACAACGCATAGCTCCCCTTGTCGTCTAGCCGGTACATCCCTGGATCGTGTGGCAGTTGTCTAAACCCAACCTCCGTCAGCTTCCTGTTCAAATGCTGCTACCACAGTCGCGGTGCTTGTTTGATTCCGTACAGTGATTTTTTGAGCTTGCAGACACTCGGCGGATTTGTCGGATAGGTGTGTGGATATTCGACGTAGATTTTAGCATCGACGTCGGCGTACAGAAAAGCGTTGGAAACATCGATTTGTCGAAGTGGAAAATTCTTCGCGGCTGCTTCGCAAAGAACGAGTCGAACACTCGTATGTCGACTGACCGGGGCGAAAGTAAGTGTATAGTCGATCCCATGAGTCTGATCAAAACCACGAACCACCCATCGTGCCTTGTGTTTCTCGTAAGTACCATCCGCTTTAGTCTTCACCCTGAAGACCCACTTACCGGTAAGAACATTTTTGTTTACCGTTTTTTCAATGGGTATAAGATCCCAAGTTCCCCTTTTCTCCAGGGCAGCCAGTTCGCGATCCATCGCTTCACGCCATTTTTCGCGATGAGGCCCTGAGAGAGCTTGTCGGGCAGTTTTCGGCTCCAAATTCACTGTAGAACTGTGCTGTACCGCTGCTGCGAGTCCCAAAATTTGCAGTCCGGTTTGATAATGCGGATTATCGTCGGTGCGACCTGCGAAATTGACAGAATCATTCTGGTCTCCACTTGCCCCCCCAATTTCGTCAGGGTTGACACGGATGCTGCTATCAGAAACCACCGGCATTGGTTGGCGTTGTTCATCCACGAGGTAAGTATGATGAACATCCCGAACATCCTCAGGTGCTGTGTCAGCAAGAGGAATAAACTCCGGAATTCCGGATGACGTGACAGGGATAGGTGGGTCGGGAGCAGCTTCACGTGCACCGTCAGAGTCAGGTTCTTCGCTGGCAGCAATTTCGACATCGGCGTTAGCAAACGAACGAACACCGTGGAAAAGTGTGGCAGGGTTTTGCTGTGAAGCAAGATGCTGTTCGAAGACGGGCAGCGTCAGATTCTCGTAGAAAATACAGTCGCGAGCAGGAACAAGGAGACGACTGCGATAATCCATGATACGCCAGGCAAAATATTGTTTTTCAATGCCGAGATGCAGCCCCCACTTAGCACGCTGATCGAACTTCCCGAGCGGAGCGGTAGGAGGACGGTACTGAACAATACATCCGAAAACACGAAGTAATTTAGTTGTACCCAACTTGCCCGTCCACAGCAAGTGGGGTGATGCGTTGTTGGGCAGGGCCGAGGACGAAAGAAGATTGTGCAACAGCGTTGCATGGTCCATGGCGAAAGGCCAGTAGAGTGGGCCGAGTTGAGCCTGAGCAAGAAGGGCTCGCATCTTCTCTTGTAGAGTCCTGTTGAGCCTCTCTGCTACGCCACTCTGCTGATGAGCGTGAGGCAACGAAAAAAGTCGTCTTATCCCGCGTTCTTGCAGATAGGCCGTGAACTCAGTACTGCGATACTCGCCGGCGCCGTCACACTGAAACGCCTTGAGCTTAGTATCAGACTCTCGTTCGGCGAGAGGAAGCCAGGTGCGGAAAGCTGTAAACGCAAGAAAACGGTTAGTCATGTTTCCAGTCCAAACGTAACGAGTAGAAGCGTCTGTAAATGTGATAACGTAGCGTTCGCCGTTGAAACCATCCGCAGGTAAGTTGAGTATACTGAACACACTATTATGTGTTCCATGAGTCCCCTTCACCCTTGCAGGAACACATAACACATGCGTCAACCTCTGCGCGGCAATGGCGGAGTCGATCGTGCATCACCTGGCAAAGCAGCTTGGAGACATTGACTCCTTGTCCGGCATACGCCTCTTCGCGCCTGACTCGTGGCCGCTAGGACATCAAGAGTGCACCATGGTGTGCACAAATTACATCGAGTCCCTGACAATACTCTTCAAGGCCCAGGAGTCTGGCGCAATCATACCAGGTACAATTCGCCCGACCTCGTAACAACAATGCTAGCGTACAGTTGGTTGTTGCTTCATTTCTTTATCCCTGTGTACTGTAATGAAAACACTGGTATTGATGATTCCTAAGCTTCCATTGTCTTTTTTCCTATGTATGTGTGCTTCGTGAGTGCAAGTGTTAACCAGAAGATGTCAGAAGTAACGAATGAGAATGAATGAACTAGCAAACAGTTGGGTACGAGTACTAACCCTAATTGGGTTGTACCCCTTATGGGCTACCCCACTACAGCCTATACAAATGTAAGCTATATATAAATTTGACACACCCCCATAGGCAAAGTGGGGGAGAACAAGTGGTCACAGCTCCAGTCAAGCGAGCAAAGCAAGCTCAGGGTGGATCACAAAGTCACCACACAGTCCGAGCACAAGCAAAGGGCCAAAAGGCCAGCTCATATGAAGAGTTATATAAAAGAGAACAAACAAGACAGTGATCATACCCTAGCAAGTGCAAGCATGCAGGTATAAACAGAGTCAAGAAGTAAGCAAGTGAGGCAAAGTAGGCACAAGGCCTAACACAGTAGAGAAGCGCTGATGATCACTAGGCGGAAGTGCCTTGGTGAAGACATCAGCAGTGTTGGCCCTAGTGGCCACGTACGCAAGATGAAGCTGGCCACGCTGCTGCA